CGGGGAGGGGGTTGCAATTGGGGTCGAGGTCGGTGCAGGTGCCGGTGGTGTCCGGCGCTGCTGTGCTGGGAGAGAGCTCCTCGCAGTGAGAATCGAGCGAGTTGTTGCTGCAGAGGCTGTCTGGGCTCTTGCTGGCCACAGAGCTCTTGGTGGCTCTCGGGGGCACCGGGGAGTTGTGGTTGGCATCTCTCTCATGGCATGTCCTGTGCTGGTCAGCCAGAAGCTCTCCATCAGCCAGAGATTCTCCATCAGCCAGAGATTCTCCATCATCCAGAGGCTCTCCATCAGCCAGAGGCTTTCCATGCCAAGCATTTTCTGTGGGAATGACGTTCAGCTGCTTGTCAGGGGACTGGGACTCTGCTCTGGCGAACTCCTTGCAGTACACCGAGACCGGCGAGTCATCCAAGCTGAAATCCGAGCAGCTACTGACAGAGGAGGAGGAGGAGGAGGAGGAAGAAGCCAGATCACAAGGGGGATCACAAGGGGAAGCCGCCTCCTCCTCGTCTCCGCTGTGCAGGCAGGGGAAATCCTCAGGGTTCTGCAGCCCGAGCGTCTCCGGCTCCGGAGCGTGGGACTCGCAGCAGCGACATTTCACCGAGGGATTGTTGGAATTGGCATCCACCGGCTCCCGGTTCTCCGGGCACTGGGTGCAGCCTGTCTGCTCCCCCTGGCCCGTGGAGCCCTCCTGGAGCTCGGGGTGCCGGGACAGGTGCAGCCCCAGGGAGATGTGCTGCAGGTGGATGTGGTTGAGGTTGCACAGGAGGCCTTTCTTTGGGGCCAGCATGGTGCTGCCTCGCTGGAAGTGCCCAGGGCTCCCAGGAAAGGCCAGCAGCTCCTCTCTTCACACCATCCAGCTCCCTGCAAGCACCAAACACCCTCCTGGTCAAGGAAAAACACGGCAGGACAAACCTGGAGAGAGGCACAGCTGGGGGAAGAGGGACGGCAGTGACCTTGCAGCAGGGCCTGGCACAAGGGCTGGGGCTTAGAGAAGGGGATGTGCCCTGAGGGAGGGGCTGCCCCACAGCTTCCTGCCCGGTTTGGGGCTCTGAAGGCAGCCCTGGTCCCTGGAGCACGGCCTGGGAACGATCCCAGGCAGCTCGGGCTGCCCCGGGGCTGGATTCCCCCCGGAGGGTCGGGAGCATCTCGGGAATGCCTCAAGGAGAA